AAAATACAAATTATTTTAAGCCACATGTGCATTTTAAGCGCTCGTAAGCTGCTTTGTGCGAAGTAACCCACAGATTTCCATAGCACCGCAGCGTTCAACTCACCGCACAGCGCGCAATAAACCCAAATCCGAATTGAAATTTCCATTTTTTAAATGCACATTTTTTTGCCAATTCTCATTGCTTTCTTGCTATTACACACACATCCACGCACACATATAAGTTGAACTGCCAATCTTTGTCCGGCTAAATGTCAGTGCTTGTCCAACTGTCAATCTGGCGTTTCAAACAGTACCCAATATAGATTTAAGGCGCATACCACCCGCAAAGCGTCTTAAATACACAAGCGCAGCAGTATTAACACACATATACATACGCACACACATACATCCACGCGCTGGCAATCCCTGCGCTGCATGCAATGCACTTACCAATTGAAATAGGTCGCCGGCGAGTGGCAACCCTTCTCTGTGCCGCACCATTTGGACTCCTGCAGCGCGGGACATGGCCGTCCGCCGCGCTTGCCATGCCGGATGACCTTGCGATATCGATGCATCTCACCGATGCCGCACGTTTTGCTGCAGGTCGACCACTCTGACCAATGACTGACACGGCAATCGCGTGACTTCGTGCGTGATTTCGTGCGGCGTCGCTTCGGCAGTGGACCCAACCAATTGGCGGCTGTGGCGCTGCTGTTTGTGCTCGCCTCCGTGCGCTGATAGCTGCTGGCGATGTTCTGCATGATGGCATTTTTATCATTTTTCGGCACTATATTCGCGATATTACCGTTGGCGGCGCTATTGCTGTTGTTATTATAGCTGTAAGCAGAAACAAGTAAAAAAAGTTGAGTTTGTGTGTGTGTGTATTTGTGATATGTAATAAAGTGTAAGTGCGCCCTAGTCTCCTGCGATTCAACACCCACCGCCCACCAGTTTGCGAGTGTTGCTTTGACAAGCCTACATAAACACACACACATACACTGCAACTTCAGTGTGTGTGTATGTCTATGGCAGTAAGATCGCGTAGTCTGTTGCAATTTCACATGAAATTAATTTCGCGCAATTTCCATTAACCTCAATTGGAAACGGTGAATTAATATTTGGTAGAGCGGAGCGGCAGCGGCGCCGCTGACACATTGGCGTTGAGTGTGTTGAAAACAAGCAGTGCCATTATATACATATACTCGAGGGCAAGCAGCGGAAAGGGTGTTGCGCAGGTGTGAAAAATTGCTTTCCTACGCATAAATATTTCACGCGATTTTGAATTCCGCTCTTCAATATTACTTTTGAAGCCGCTGTGACAGTGATTGTCTCGTAGCTTTTAAAAGGCGTCAGTTTGTGAATAAATGTACGCCTATTAAATGAAAAGCAGCAAGCTGCTTGGATTGAATTGTAGAATCAACGTAGAACACAATATTAAGCTTGAATATACTTTTTCAATATGTGAACCAGAAGGAAGAGACCTTTACTAAACCGACAAGTCTCTAGCCGGCTAGCTCATGTGGAAAGAGAGAGAAATATTTTTGGCAACATACAAGGCAAACAGCCGACAGGTTTTAAACTACGCCGCACTGATATATTCACTTGGTTGTGATTAAATGCAGACGAAGAATTTCAGACATGTCAGAACACTGCACTTCGGATTATAAGTAAAACGATCTTCGGTGGAACACTTACACGGCAAGCCCCGTATGCTTCCGGTTAAGGAACATAATGAAGTCTTCTCCAAGCAGTTTCGGCGCCGATGGTGTCTGCAAAAGCATCTGCTTGAGGCCAAGCCTCCTCATAGGAACATTATGAGATCCTTCCTTGACTAAGTCGACTATATCGAACAGAATTCGAACGCAACTCCTTTCAAACACGCACTGACCGCTATGCATGGTGGAGCTATTAACAACTTGAACGACTCCTATTCAATGATTGGTCTACTTGAAGTCAAACCACAACCCATTGCAAACGAAGGGTTCGAGTTGCTAGGGTGATACCTGAGCAACTTTGTTCTGTATACAGTAGTAGGTTATGCTCCTACTTATCCAGATTCGATCACGATCTATCAAATATACGGGGTTTGTTCGGAAAGTAATAGGACTGAGTCGATTTAAAAAAATGTATAGCACCAATTGTTACAACTCTTTCAACATTTTCAAAATTGGCTGCTTATGCGTCGATGCAGCGCAGCCAGCACGATTTCCAAGCATTGAAATCATCATGGAAAGCATACTCCGGAATACTCTTGAGAGTCGAGTTGCATGCTACTTGGATCCCCTTTCATCGGCCTTTTCAGGCAAGAAAACAAAAATGTCCGGGGCGGCACATCTGGGCTGTGGGGCGGCTGCGGAAACGTTGGGATGTCAGCCGTGGTTAGATAGCTGTTCACAAGAAAGGAGTTCTGAACCGGAGCATTTTCGAGGTGTAACTTTCAATCGGCTGCGATGTCTTGTCGGACCTGATTAGCCCTTCGATTGAGTTTCTCGAGGACTTCCACGTAAAACTTGGCATTGACGGTTTGTCCATCAGCGACCTCTTTCCACCCCTCCAAAAAGCCCTGGTGCAACCGAAACATACTACTTCTTGCTAAAGCAACAGCTGGATAAGCCTGCTTGATCATATCAAACGTCTCTGTCGCAGAGTTACCGAGTTTCACACAGAATTTAATCGCGCACTTTTGCTCTCACGAAACGCTGCACTTTCGGCTTGCACCACTCATAGAAACACCTCGCGCTAAAATGTTTGTCCTGACTCTCCATGTGCTCGCCGACAACTGACCAGCCGCTCGTTTGTTAGCTGGGAAGTAAGGTCGCGGCGAAAGAAAATCAGTCCTATTACTTTTCGGACAACTCTGTCCACTATGCAATGAGTCGCAGCATGTCCCTGATCACGTCTTTGTATGTTAAACGAGCTATAAGTAGTCTAATACCTTTCTTTCTATGATCCGACCTTGTCGAACGGCTCGTTTCCTGGGCATACCGGTAGCTAAAGTCGATAACAATCGACTGGATATTGATCACCTGCATCACAGCATCAGATCAAACCGACTAAGCTTGTTATTCATTATCGTCGACATCTAATGTATTTGGTTCTGTTTCTTCATAAATAATATATTTCTATAATAAAAGTAAGCTTCCTCTTCATCCATATTAAGATATTTTATGGTTGTTGACTTTGGCAGCACCTTTCATGTTTAGTCGTTATCGATGACATTCGATAAGCAAAGGATTCTAAAAAGTTATTAGCTTCACGAAATCTATATCTTTAACTAGCTTCATATCCAAAACTTTTTCAATACCTAACTTTTCCTTACCTCAGCAATTCTTTTCAAAAAGGTCCATATACCTCACACTTTCAAATCTTAAATCTTTCAACCTTTTATCTCTCCATATTACGCACACCTTACTAAAATTCAATTTGAATTTGCGTCGTGAGCTGCCATGTTTATTTTCATTTAATGCCACAACACATACAAATAAAGAGCTTGCTTTCCATATTCAGAAGGAGAAAAGGTAAACATAAAAAAGAAAAAAAGTAAACTTATTCCTATTTTATAGATTCGCCTACACTGAAGTTGAAACGACAATCTTTACTGCATACCTTATACATATATTTATGAGTATGTAGGAATAAAGAACATACTCAAGTTCTGTGTCATTTGCTTGTGGGTTGAAAATTGTAAATACGGAATAGCGAATATATACTCGTTCACATGCATATCCAAGTTGAAGGCGAAGCTCGTATATATTCACTTTTCACCAACACATACAGAGGATACCACAAGACACCTCAATTTGCTCTGTTGCACAGCTCTATTAGCAATAAATTCTTAAGTAAATTGGGTTTGCATCCGTCGCATCGAAAGTGAATAGAAAGCGAAATGAAGCGGTAATGAAATTACAAAACCAAAAAAAAAAAAAAGAAAATGTATGTGTTCAAAAGCAGGATTATTCCATAACGATAGTTCGTTTTGCAATTATAGTAAAGAAATAACAGATCAATAACTGTAATAATTTAGTTAAGTCGACTTCGATTCGCTACTTTGCTGCGTTCTTGGAAGGACGACAAACATGGTAACAGGCAACAAAATTATTCTTGGAAGGACGACAAATATGGTAACAGGCAACAAAATTATGCAGTTGAGTTTAAAATAATGCAGGAATTGACTGCCTCATTTATGTTTTACACTCTATTTCGATACTAAGCATATATTTCTATTAAACTATGCCAGTTTACGAAAATTCGCACAAATAACCGACGAATACGTAAGTAAGTAACCGGTAAGTAGCCAGTAAGTCGGAAAGTGTCTACGCCAATAGAGAAAAAGAAGTGCCAGTTGAGTGGCAAAAAAGATGAGTGAATCTCCGTACACTCGTAGATAAATTATGTTCCAAATGCCCCTTCCCTTTACAATAGTCTCATTGCTCAGACTACTAAGGTTCAGAAAGGTCTCAGCTAGAATCAGTTCACAACTTTTCTGATATGAGAATGCGCTATCAATATTCGGGAGAACTTTGATAGGTAAAATCAGCGAACATGTTTTTAAAGACCAAAAAGCAAGCAAAAGTATGCGCTGAAGAGTTCATTGCAAATGGAAATGTTGAAGATATGGAGCAATTAGAGGAATTCAGAAAAAGTGATTTCAGCTGAAGTCGAAGTTTCCAATTGCTTTAAATTAGAATACTTTCTGGCTTAGTCACACAAAGAGATTTCGGGGATAATAACGTATGCACTTTAATGAATAATTCCATAATTATTACTCATGCCTTTATAAATATAATACATACGATACAATACCTCTTCCAGGCTGTAACATTGCACTCACATATACCTCAATTACGCGATAATAAAATATCACGAGCTGATGACGTCACCACTTTTTCCACATATATACGATGCATAATTACAAATGTGATTGATTTGAAACGAATAACAAAGAACTAAAATGTACATATGAATGCTCAAAAAACACTGCAAAAATAAAGTAGTATTTCGAGTGCAGTCATAAACAGAGAACAGTTGGCGGTTATAACGCGGCCGAAACACACACAGGTCTAATAACAAGGCTTTTTTAAAATAATATTTAAAAACATTTGGCAGAGAAAACAGCACCTGACATAGCAATACAGAGATGCATGGACCCGGCAGAGGTGGATTTAGACCCGGACCTGGACCGGCCAAGGTGAATGTGGTAATGCGACCGCCACCTCGACCTTCACAAGTGAATGTAAATATCAATGCGCCACGACGTCCTGTTGTAAACGAGGTTGTTGTAGTAGGTGGTGCGCCACCGTTACTGCCAGTTGCCGGTATGATGTTGGGCGCATCAATGGTTGCTGGCGCAGCAATGGGTGCAGTGGCAGCATCGGCTGTAAGTGGACCCAGAGAGGTTATAGTAAATGCACCACCGCCACCACCATCGACGGTGATTGTTAATACGCCGAGCGTACAACAGCCGGTTGGTTATTCTGGTATGGGTGGAGCGCCATCTTCAACTACAGTGATTATAGAAGGTAATGCTCCAAGAATGCCGCCGCAACCGTCGACAACAGTGATGTATTTGTAAATATTTGTAGATCTAAATAAATTGTTAAACTCGCTTAAGAGCTTTTGTTTATTCTTTTAAAGACCGAGGCGCGTTCAATGTAGGAAGGAACTGTAGAGAAAATATTCAAACAAACTTTTCAAGACCAGTTGTTCGAAATCAATAACAATCTAATGAATATATTTCTAAGTCAGATTGTAAGTGGAAATGGAAAGAAGAAGATGTGGAACAATTACAGTACTGAATTCGAAAAAAGAGCGTTTTTAAGATTGAAGCTTCCAGAGTTCCGATATAATGCATTATATGTATTTTTTTTCTATTTTTGAGAATTTATTCAAAGCACTTGCTGACTTGGCCATATAAGGGTTTCCAGAATAATAACGTGCCTGATCCAGGCTATAATATTATACTACCATATATAGCTCAATTGCGGGCTGATAAGATTATGTCACGAGCTGATGACGTCACTATTTTTTCCATACATTCGATGCATAATTGGAAATATGATTGATTTGAAAGAAATAAAAGTAAATAAAGACGTTCATATGTTTGAAGAGCGCCGCACCAAGAAAGTAGGATTTCGACAACTAGTCAAAAGCAGTAATCAGTTGACAGTTATTACTCGGCTGCAACACACAGAGCGCATATAAAAGGTTTTATAGTAATATTTAAATAAAAAGACAGAGCAAAGGAAACAACACAATAGAGGGATGCGTGGACACATCGGAGGTGGATTTAGATCTGCGCCTGGACCGGCCAGGATGAATATGGCAATGCGTCCACCCGCCATGGGCATGGGTGGTCCCGGAGCAGTGAGAACTGCTATGGGTGGTCCCGGACCAGCGAGGATTGGTACAGGAGGCCCAGGTCCAGCCAGGATTGGTATGGGTGGACCCGGTCCGGGTGGTCCGGGACCCGGACCAGCACGTCCACCGCCCGCAGCTGGACCTACACAAGTGAATGTGAACGTGAATGCACCACGACGCCCTGTGGTAAATGAGGTGGTTGTGGTAGGTGGTGCGGCACCGTTACTTCCAGCTGCCGGCATGATGTTGGGCGCATCAATGGTTGCTGGCGCAGCGATGGGTGCAGTGGCCGCGTCAGCTATGAGTGGACCCGTTATTGTAAATGCACCACCGCCACCACCATCGACGGTCATAGTTAACACGCCGGGTGTGCAACAGCCACAGGCTTCCTCGACTGTGGTAGTGAATTCAGCGTCAACAGCGGTACCCACTTCTAATGTGATGGTTAATTCAGGCATGGGTGCGGCAACACCCTCAACGACAGTGGTGACGGAGGGTGGTGGTCAAAGAATTCAGCAACAACAGCCAACGACCGTCGTAACAGAGACCGTGGTAATACCACCGAGGCGTAATAATTGCTGTTGTGTGGTCTTATGATGTTGAATATGAAGGAAAAGTAGTACTAAGTTATTTGGTGTGAGGAGAACTGTCTTAGTTATAATATATTATATATGTATGTGCTGGATTTAAAGAAATGCTTAAACTTGTTTAAAGTCTTACAGTTTATTTTTCACAAGACTGTAGTAAAAATATTAACTAAGGAAACTGAAAAAGTCACGCCTCTATTGTTTGTTGCTCTTAATCGTTGTGTCGTCAATGCAAATCTCAGCTGAAATCAGCTTTGGCTCATAAGAAAGGTTGAGTGATAATTTATTTCTTCGCCAATAAAGAAAAGAAAAAGGAGAAAAATCTGCCGCTCGCCAAAAATTAGACATGCTTGGTATGATCGTATTTTTTGATTCTACTAAAGCAACTGCGGAAATTTGTTTTTAGAATTTCTCACATTTTTCTTTCAAACTTTTTATATTTCTTTTCACCTGAGCGACTTTTTTAAGGATCAGCTGAAACTAAAGCCTCAGAGCACAATATCTATTACAAATATTTGCCACCCAGACAAAGATAAAATGCTTGCAGCTTAAAAATATCAACTTTTCAAAAACAAAAATAAACTCTTAAGCCATAATAGGTTTATAATCGTACTTCAAGTGTTAATTGTGCGCAAAATATGTGTATCGTCACCCATAATGCAAAACAACGTATCATCCGAAAAATTTTAAAATCATTGTCAGATATAATAACCAATGTATAACCATTTTGTAATGAAAATTATAATTTTTTGATGAATATAAGTGTATGATAACCTTAATATAATCATTTTATAACCAAAACCCAAATTTTTTTCCATATTAGTGGTTTCTATTATATCGCTTTTACTTCGCCTGTAAACTTACGAAAAGTGATGTTAAGTTCTTTTGCATTTTATATAACGATATATAGATATATAAATATACTATATATATATGTGTGTATACATGAATATGTTAAGTACAGTCTTGTGCATATATTCAATTAAATTCAGAAAGTGAAGGTCAGCAGCACTTCAATTATACAATTATACCCAACAAGACATGAGAACACCAATCTGATAAAAATAGTTGAAGAAATTTTATACTCGTTCTTGAAATGAAACCAAATATTTTTTTTTCACACAAATACCCTCTTTAACTTAATTAAAAAAACAAAAAACTCAAAAATTCTGAAGGTAAATTTGAGACTGATGTGCTAAAACGTCTGTGGGTATTTGAGGTGCTCTGGATATGAATTCGAGTTCAATATTTTTCCATCTCTTATACTTTTGTCATTTTGATAAAAGGTGGTGCTTTATGCCTTACATCTCCAGACTACAACACAAAAAATCCCACTTGAAAAGAAATTGTTACTATCATTTTCGGTTTTAGTAAACCAAAATTAGCAAGAAACAGCCTCTAACAGCACAATAGCAAAATTTCTTTAATCTGGTGTTATAGATCATAATTCTTGAGAATTTTTAAAGATTTTTTACTGAAAATATAATTTATTTCTTTAATAAAAAATAAAAAATTTCTTCAAAAAAAGTTTTATTTCTCCTTATTTTCCATTTCTTTGAACACTTTCGCCACATTTTCACCACTTTCTTAAACAAAACTCAAATAATTTTCTCTCAAGAATCAGTAATTTTCATAAATTTTACACTTAAATAACTTTATTTAGTTTAATTTTTTACTTTTTCCTCACAAAATCGCACAACAACCATCGGACGTGGTGACAGTCATCACCGGTGGCGGCCGTTGCATGTTCTCCACGACCACCGTTGTCGGCTGTGGTCGCGGCGCGTTGACGTACACAGTTGGCGGTGGTGGCCGCGGCGCATTCTCGACAATAACCACATTGGCGCCTTGTGGTCGCGGTGGTGGTCCCACATTGATGTTGACTTGCGCGCGTCCTGGTGACGGTCCGTAGCCATAACCCGGCGGCTGTGACATGTTGTACTGTGAAGGGTGTGTAGATGCGCTGCTGCTGTTGTCTAATGAATGTTATATTTATGGCTCGCTGTCTGTGTTGTTCGAAGTCGAATGTTTGCTGCTAAGAATGACAGCAATAGTTCTGCTCGCCAGTGCAGCGTGGCTCAGACTGATAGTGTCGCTGCCATTTCGGCATTCTAATTAGTATATTTTTATATATATATATATATTTTTTAATAAAAAATAAAAGTAATTTAGCGTTTGTTTCACTGCTTTTCTCTGTTTCTTGCTGCACATCAATCAATTGGTAATTAAATGCTTAAATACACATTTGCCGGCTGGAATACAGGTGCGTACTTATATACACATTTTTACTTATATTTGGCTGAGTGCGAGTATATATTATATAAAACATTTTATGTTGTTATCTTATCATCAGTAGTAGATACACACATACATATGTACCTATGTTATATTTGTGTTTCTATTTGTTTATGTATATGTATCGCGGTAGCCTCACGCATGCTTCAGCTTTGCTTCTCTGTGACTGATAAGCTGACTGCAGTGACCGCAAAGCCGAATTAAAAAAATAAATTATCAAAAAGGCGTATATATGTAAAGATATAATTACATATTGCAATAATGTATATACATACATTTACTATTTAACTTATTTTTTGAAGCTCATAAAACAGAAATAAATAAATTATTAGCTATTCGTGGTAATTAAATTTATATTTTCACATAGGAGTCTATATTGGGTGGATAATTTTTTAAAATATAAAAAATATAAAAAATTATAGTAGAATGAAAGACATGGAAAACTAAAATTAAAGGAAAATAATTTACCTCCGATATGAGGTCGGGAAAATTAAGAGGAGAAATGTGGTTGAATTCTAAGTCGAGAAAGTTATAATGCTTCTGTAAGAAGTTCTTCTGTCAACGCCGAGGCACCCTTTTTGTCATGGACTGCCGGAAAAGATGTCGCTATGACGAAGCTTTAAATATTTTCTTTTCAAAATTGTATAAACTCTTTGAAAAATATATAACTTTGGAATAATACAATGTCTGAATAAAATATTTATTTTTTATGAAAAAAAAAAAAAAATTTTTAAATAAGCCGTTTTCAGCTTAACGATCCCTTTAGGGGTAACCCGTTTAAGGCTTACATATGTTAACAAGTATCGAAAAATCGATTTTTTCTATTAAATAAATTTTTTTAAATTCCACTACACCTCTAAAATATTATTCTAAATTTTGAAGTTGATCCAAGGTCTAGTTTTGGAGATACAGCTTTGAGAACTTGTGAGTTCGAGACTAGCTAGGCTAAGTGCGACGCCTTTAAACGCTTTTTTCCGAAAATGTTTTTTTGAAGTTGGTTGGCAAGATTTCTAGAGAACTACTCAATCGACTCTTCGTGAAATTTTATACAAGTTTGTAAGAGGACAAAGGATTTCTTTTCGATTAGAACTATTTGAAAAAAAGTCTCGAAATTTTCAGTTTTTTGTAAAAATTCAATTTTCAGTTTTTCCTTTGTCCAAGTTCTAAGTTAAGGTTTTAACTAAAACACATATTTTTTCACTTTAGATGACTTTCTAAAGAGTTATCCTGTCAATGCGGGCGCATCTCTTTCCCGAGGGGTCACCGGAAATGGCGTTGCAATGGCGGAGTTTAAAATATATATTTTTTTTATTTTAGTTTCAGAATTTCTTTGCTAATAGTGTTGGTTTGTAACAATAAAAGATTCTAATAAAATATTTCCTTTTTTATATGAATATAAGAATTACTGATTTTTACCCTAGGAAACCCTTGTAATCTCTTAAGGACAGTAAGACAATGAGATGTTTCAAAAATTTGGAAAAAAGGAATTGCTTTAAAAAATTTCAGAGTAAAATCGATTTATCATAGTCTCAAAGAATACTGATAGCATACAGTTACTAAAGTTCTTTTAAAAAGTTACAAACTATTCAAACCTGTAAGTAAAAACATACGAGTCAGTGAGAAAAAATCAAGAAGAGAACTTACGGAATATATTTTAAACCAGATATCTTTGCAATTCTCATGATACAATTATCATTGGGAATTGAAAGGAATATGAAAGCCAAGTTTTGTAAACACTCGCTAAAGTGACGTCACAAACACATAAATTTTTCACATGAAAAGTCATTGAATTATAAGTTGTAGAATTGTTTTGGTGAGAAATGATATATGTATGTTATTTCCAAAGTGGCTAAGAGCCAACCACTGTCACAATATTTAAGGCTAAGCATGAAACAAATTCATAGGTTAGGTTAAGTTTCAACGGCTGGCTGCCATAACATACACAGATCTACAGGTCCTTTGTAATGCCAGATGGAGATTTATTTGTACGAAATTTGCGTCGTGCAGAAGACCAACGCTTTCTGCAAAATTTAATAGATACTTCATTTTTTATTCTGATATTTCAACCTACTACTTCGCGTTTCCTGCAAACATTCCAAATATTCCTTGGAAGAAGTGTATTGTAGTTCTTCAGTCGCATATAACCACAGAAAAATCTCTAAATCCACAAGCAAAGAAAAAGTCAAGATGTTTTTAAATGCCCAACTCAACGGCAAAGTACAGCTGACACACTTTTGCTATCGAAAAATGAGCATATTTTGTATACCGAGAGTATAATGATATTAGTTTTTTCCTGTTTTTGGCACTCCAACACGTTCGCCGCTTAAGCATATTGCCTTTTGTCTTGTAGTTTCCTTCTTTGTATTTGCTTGGTGGTGCTAAGTTGCCATGCTCACGCTTCTTCTTTTTAGCAATTTTTTTTTTTTTTATTATTTTTTCCCAGTGACTTAGTGACACTTTTTCATCCTGTGCATGATTTATTCGTATTCTGCCTTTGGTTTTGCCGTCGTCTATTCATTAAAGATTCAGGTTACCAGTGCCAACAATGGAATCTTGTAGATGTTGTGTGTGAAATTTAAGGCAATGGGCGTCACTGTCCGACAGAAACTAGCTACACCGCACACCATCTTCATACACCACCACTTCCTACTGCCATGACAATGCCCTCTCTGTCGTGATAAACTTCTATTCTTTGCTACACTCTTCAACTCTCCGACACTGCTTTCGTGCTGCTCAACAGACACTTCACTTTTTAGTTCATACTGCCTTTTTTCTGCTCATTCGATGCTCCTTTTC